TAAAAAATTCGAGCGCTTTAAATTAGGATTTGCGAGGAGTCGCGGCATTGAGATACACAGCAATGGTCCGTAAAAGGTATAAAAAAAAAAAAAAAAAAAAAAAAAAAAAACAACCGCGGCGGTGGGAGGGAAAGGAGGTGGATGATATTTGAGAAATATCGAATAACCGCGAGATATACGAGCCGCGGAGATAGCGCACAGATCGATGGACCACTTCATTAATGGATAAAGTGTTATGGCGGTAATCCTCCTGCCGTGTATTCGCAGTTGGAACGCGAGCCAAAACCCTTCCGCGTGATAATTATGTAACATTGCGCGGGCGCGCGAGAACTGCGCCCGCATTGCGCATGTGAAAACGAGTTTCCAAAGGGGAATTGTAACATTTTGCCAGTCGCAGTTTCATGTATCACTCCGACCTTTAACCACACATACACAACCGCCTCCCTTATTATGATAATGCAACGTCAAGATAGAGCGAAGCGCGATTTTCTTTTTTTTTTTTTGTTTTAACTCGAAAACGAGCACCGAGTAATTTTCTAAAATTGCGGAAACCGCGCGCTTTCAATCTTTGTCTCAAAATTATATATCGAAACAAAAATCAAACTTCCGTTTTAATGAGATGAAATTGAAAACTAAAAAAAACAAAAAAAAAAAAAGAAGGAAAAGTAAGATTTATTGCCGGAAAAACTGCAATATTGCGTTGTTGTTGCGTCAAATATTGCGCTACTCCAAGAGAGAAAAGCAAAAAGCTCGCGCGCTCGCGCACCGCCGCAAGTTAAGCTGGAAATAAATGAGCCGCGCAAAAACTATGAGAGATGCAGCAAACACGTGAAGACTTGATCGTCGCGGGACAGCGGTACATTTATCTGATAAAGAGGATCATCAGTCATCGCGGGGTTGCATAAATCATCGGAAAGTTGGCGGCGGTGCGCGATTTGTAACTTCGGGATATTCCCTTTTCCCTTTCCCCTTCATCTCCGACCCTCGCCTTCAGTCACCCTTTCTCTCTTCTCCGCGCGCGCGGTCGTGTGCGACCGTATTACTTCCACGAGGGGTGAGAAGGGGCGAACGAGATTCCGGGAAACGGTGCTCTATCACGTGAACGATAATTGCTTGATATCAATCTGGGAACGGTGCTATCAAGTGCCTTAGCGCGCCCATCGAAAAGCCGCGAACGCCAATTGTACTCCGCTCGCTCGATTTTTCGCGATAACAACGAGAGAGTTCTACCCGACGACGTATCGCGACTGAAGATCTCCTTTTTTCCGGAAAAAAGTCGCTTGGTTTAAACACAACGCTCGCGTACGTACGCGACGCAATTACCTACATATATTCGGATAATATGCGTTTTCTATAACGCCGCTTTTCGCGTTTGTTCGGCAAAATCCTGAAATGAAATTTAATTAGATAAAATAGCGAGCGAGGACGCGCCGGAAAGAGAAGCCGAGCAAGGAATTGGTAATCCGATGTTTTTTTTTTTTTTTTTTTTTTCACAACTGTTTATTAAATTGAAAACGTTCAGCCGTCGTTGCGATCCTTTTCAACGTGGGACTGCCAACTTTTTTATCCGATTGAAGATCAAAAGAGTATCTTCTTCTGCAAATTATTTAAATTAATTAAGTTTTTAATGCCATATCGCCACCCCTTCGTTTGCCACCCCCTTTCCGAGGTGTTGCTCGCCCCGCACGTGCGAGATCCTCCGATCTTAATTTTGCTCGGACGTGGGGGGTTTTGAACTTTGCGGGGGCGTATAATATTTTTGCGCGGAGATCGCGCTCTCTCGGGGATTATTGCTCGAAATGCGCGTTTTGCAACCCGTTTCTGACACACCGAACACACGCGAAATTTAATAATTCACATATCAAACAAAATTCGATCGCGCGCGGCGATCGAACTCCGTAAATCACTTCGGGAATCTGCGCGCCGCAAAAATTCAATTTACATTTGTCTCCTCCCTTTCCCCTGTATTGACGTGTAATGTCAGATGGTTTCGTTGTTGTTGTTGTTGTTGTTGAATTAATTTCATCAGAAAGTTGGAAAGTTAATCGGGGAAATTTCGCGTTGCGAACACGAGAGTTGAGAGATTTCCGCGATCAAATTTCGGGGGTAAAAATTTCGCACCATTTTCTGTTTTCGGAATTTATTAGACTTATCGAATCTTCTTCGAGCGCGATTCTTTTGCGATATTTCAGCGACGTTTTATCGAAGAAAGTCACGCGATAAAATATCTGTCGCCGTTTATACTTCAGCCGCGGTGAACGCCACGATTCGCGATCATTTCGATGCCCAGGCGGGGGAGAGATGACGGACGCTCTTCGCCTCGCTTCTCACAATAGAAGAAGCAAAAGAACTCGGAATCGCTCTCTCTCTCTCTCTCTCTCTCTCTCTCTCTCTCTCTCTCTCTCTCTCTCTCTCTCTCTCTCTCTCTCGCGATCATTTCGATGCCCAGGCGGGGGAGAGATGACGGACGCTCTTCGCCTCGCTTCTCACAATAGAAGAAGCAAAAGAACTCGGAATCGCTCTCTCTCTCTCTCTCTCTCTCTCTCTCTCTCTCTCTCTCTCTCTCTTTCTCTCTCTCTCTCTCTCTCTCTCGACTGGCGTGACGAGAAATTGATGCTGTTCATCGTATCCCGCAAAGATGGGGAAGAGAGAAGAACGCGGCGTATCCGTGTATTCGAATCGGAACTCGGAACATACGTAACGTCGCGATACACAACTATTGATCTCGTATAGCCCCCCCCCCTCTCCTCCTCCCCTGTATTTGAGTTTCCACGTGAAAGCTTCCAGATTCCGCGACGCGTACATCACTTAGCTCTCGCGCGAGAGAGAAGACGGGCACAAGCGGTGCGTTCCGACGATAGCAATACATACTGAGCGCCACTTACATTTTTCAGAAAATACCGAGAACGAGCGGGAAAAAAAACGAGAGAGGCGAGAACGCGTTGAAGATAAGAATAAAGAAAAAAAATGACAAAACGTAATTTCTCTTTGTTACCGCCGTACTTTCGGACATCCCTCGATACATTACTCCAAAAAGTTAGAAGAAAAATTTTCGACGTCGAAATTTCTCTCTCTCGCTCTTATAAATAATTAATTTTAGACTTCAATTATAATAAATTACATCATAATAAAATATTAAATTCAGATCGTCATTAAATATTCCATTTTGTGTAATTTAATAATTTAATCAGATTTTCAATTTTCTCGTACACGATTTATTCGTGTATCACACAGATGTGGATTTTGTTTTTTTGTATTTTTTTCAAACAACGCGGAAACTCTCGCAAAATTTTGTAACGGGGCAAATTTCCGTGATTTTTTTCTCTCTATTTAAAACTAAAAAAAAAAAAAAATTCTTTCTACCTATGCTTGAAAACTCTCTCAGTTTTCCCATTACGAACGTCTGAGTAATTATCCCGAAGAAAAGAATGATAGCGCGCGCGCGGTCCATTCTCGTCTCGTTTTCTTCCGCACGTTTCTCTCGCGGAAGAGACGGTTGCGCCGCAAGATATTCCCGACCGAATCACTGAGGATTCAACCATTCAAGCAAGTAAGCTTTATATACGATCAAATGTGCGGTAGCGATTTATTCGCTTCCCGCCGCATCTCTCGCTTCGGGCGGGACTTTGTCTCAGGAAAAAGCTTGTTCGGACAAAACAACGAGCGCCGTGAAACGCGTTAAATTGATCGAACAATATCCGTGGGGAAATTGCCTCCTCCTCCCTTTTCCTGGTTGTGAAAAAATCGTGATAAACTACATTTCTTTGCTTAGAAGGTAAACCGGGAGAGAGAGAGAACCGGAGCTAAATCGATCGTTGGAGAACAAAAAACATTTAACGGTTAAAAAAAAAAAAAAATGCAACTTCAATACTTTCGAACGGATTGTAGCCTTGTCGCGAAAACAAGGAGAAATTTACAAAACAAATTTTAATCTCAAGAAATAATTTTGACGATAGTTCGCACGTCCTCGGGCGGGAATTCTGACCACCCCTCGGTGTCAAAAAGGAACGTGAGAATATAACGTATATATCCTGTCCGCATTTCCGAAGGCGGAAAACCATTTCGACCGGAAGGCACGTCTCACTCGTAAACAATACAGGTTTCTGCGTTTAAACGTGTGTAGATACACATATTCCCCTCCTCTCTCCCTCCCTCCCTTCCACCCCCTCATATGCAGATCGCGCCAAGAGGGGCCGGACGCAGAAGGGGGGTAGGTTGAGGCGGCCGGGCCCGTAACAGCTTGCCTAAATTCCATCTAAATTCAAAACAGGGCTGAAATTGCCACCAACAGGCGGCGGCGCGCGGGGGATGCGCGCGACAAGCAACGGTTCTAGCCGGCTAGACACGTCGGGTCAAAGGCCAACAAGCAACCGTCCCGCTCGGTGTGTTCGGTCTCTTTTTTTTCTTTTTTTTTTTCTTTTTAAATATCTTCCCTCCCGTTTGTGTCCCCGATATAACGCAATATGGCATCATCCCTCGTCTCTACCTTCCTACCCTCGTCTCACCGACCTCGTCACGTGGGTGGAAAAAATAAGTTCCCTCGCTGCGAGAGAAGAGAAAGGCGCCGGGCCGACGCGTCGCCGGTGTCGCGCGCGCGCGCGCGTCTCGTACGGGACGCGCGCGACTGACGTTTAATTAAATTGCGAGGGCGTATATTAAGCGAAGCGGAACGTGATGTTAAATGCGCATAATACAGAGAACGTTCAAAGAATCTATGCTAAATATTTGCCATCCGTGTATTTTTTTATGATAAAGTCTCGCGCCGGTCCGTCGACCGTCAAACGCGGCGGGCGGCGGTGACCGCGCGCGCAGGAAACGTGCCGCTGCGTTCGCGTTTTGTTTGTTTTGGCGTTTGTTTATTGTTTTTATACATCCCTGAGTATAATACATAACTCACTTATATTTAATATTGCCAAGAGCGATGGAGAATTTTTATACTGTAATTTATTTATATACTTCTCGTTCTATTGTACATTTGCATATACATAGAATTGGGTTTTCCATCATCATACACACACACACACGCACATACACACATACACACACAGATACACACATGCGCACACACGTAAATGTGTGTGCGTGCCGTAAATCTTCGAGAAATTATAATTAATCGTGTCACGCAAATGTGGTTTGCGATAGTACAGTTTATAACACATCTCCGATGTGTAAAATATCGGAATTGCGAAAGTTTTAATGGAAATATACAATTAAAAAAAAAAAAAAAAAAAATACGACACATCCCACGATGTGTACGACGTACCAAAGAGAAGATCACCGGTGTGATAATACTAAAAAGTCCATTACATTCTAATTATAAAGAGACCATCTCCGTTACATCTCCATACATTTTATTTTAATTCTGCGGAAACTTTTTAAATAAAGTTCATCGGACGAGTTAGAGAGAAAGAGAAAAAGAAAGAGAGAAAAAGAGCTCAGTTTTTTCCTATATTGACAATTGTGTTTATAATATTTTTAAATAGTATAAACAAGTTTTTTTTTTTATATAAGAGCGCGCAAAATATCGCGCCAATACATCACCGCCGATGCAATGTACAAAAAAAGGGCAAATAAAAAAAAATCAAGTCGTATAATTAGAAATATATAGATCGGCGACGACACACAATGTGACCGACGTTAATAAATTATTGACTTTTTTTTTTTTTTTTTATTCACAAATAATTAAACCTAGTTATTATTATTCGTTCTTTTTTTCTTGTTTTTTTAGCAAAGATTTTTGCAAATGGGTTACATGATACTGTGTCAGCGAATTAAATGTAAGTTTCTTTACATATTTTGTATATTATATTTATATATACCTGATCACTTGTAGAAATGTAATATGTAGAGTTTATTATACAATTCAGGCGGGGAACAACAACGCTTCAACGATAAAATTAAAAGAACCGCAAGCTTTTTTGTTTGTTTCTTCTTTAAAGCACGTTCGAATTGATTAAAAAAAAAAAAAAAATGCAGATGCGGCACTTTTTTACGAGACTCTTTTACATGTACGAAAAACTTAAATAAAAATTCTGTGAGATGTCGAGATTAATGCAAATAAATCTTAAAAATATACATATATATATCTTGATACTCGGTAAATATAAATGTGTGTTCACAATTCACAGATTCAACACAAGTGCACATTGCATCAATGTTTCATTTACCGTCCGGTTTTGTTTATTATAAATTACATTAATACGATGTGAAATGTGTATCCCAGTATGCCGATAACCGTTCTCCACATCACAATAGAACTTTACAATTCGATGAGAGTCAAGTTACAATTCCCCATTGTACTTTCGCATAACACCATCATCAAGCAATAAATGTTTCTTTTTGTCTTCTTTTTATAAACAAATGCTATAATGACACATTGAAATAATTCAAAGCAAATACCGTCCTCAAAAGGGGGAAAAGTAATATGCTTCTTCAATTATCGTCCACGTCATCATCATCGTCGGATATATACTTTTTAGTGACTCGCTTTCTACGACCGCCTCTTCCCTCGCCTTTTCTTCCTTTTAATTTTATTTTCATTCGCACACTAGAATCCGCATCCGAGCCCTCTTCGCCATCTGTGGGTGAAACAAAATTTCGAGTCAAGACAAAAAATTAGATTGGTATCGTCTTGTATGTTTTTTTTTTTTTTTTTAACTTTTAGCCTTCGCTAGATGATTAAATAAAATGTGTGCAAACCTTTATCATCGTCAGAATTATTACCCTCCTCTTCGAGACGCTGACGCGCGTTTGTGAATACAGATTGTAACACTATCGAATCCTCGTGAATAAGAGACGCCTCTTCGTTATAAATTTGAGCATTCTTGCAAAGTTGCATGAAATCTTTCTCGAGCTCATCTAAATCGGCATACTTGAAAAAAAAAAAAAACGAGAAATTGTCAAATTATTAAATGATTTTATCAAAAAATAAAAAGAAATATCAGAAAGTATATACGTCAGAGTACTTACTTTGCCTTCCTCAATTTTTTGCAACAGCTTGTTAATGGTTAAAGGTTTCTTAATAATTTCATAATAATCGGGCAATTCCCTTCGAGACGGTAATTTCATGAAAGGTTCGCTCAGTAATCGACCGTCGCTGCTGTCAGTGTAATTAACAACTACCGAGATTAATTTCTTCATGGCCCGTTTCATCTTGGGATCGACTAAGGAACCGCCGCCCCTACGTTTCTTCGGCATAGGCTCGTCGTCCTCCTCTCCCTTTTTCTTTCGTTTTCGCGTCTTCTTCTTCTTCTTATCGTCCTCTTCCTCTTCCTCGTATTCGGCCCCGTCGTCGTCGATCGCCTTCAACCACTCTTTCTCGGTTAGACTGTCTGTATAATCTACTTCCTTACGTTGCCTCGAACCTCTACCGAGGAATCTGTCTTCGTCCTCTTCGTACGTCCACCTTTCCACTTCGTCGTCATCCTTTACCAACCAGTCGGGCAATTCGGCCTCCTCCAGCAGACGCGATTTGCGATTCGGACCCAATTTCGCTTCCTCGCGCCGTCTTTCCAAGTCCAACTTCTGGAAGGTCTCGAATTCTCCTTCCGTTCGGGCGATCATCTGATTTACGGTCTCGTCGTCGGGCACTTCGTTCTCTTCTTCGTCCTCGGCATCGTCTTGATGCAGAATACTCTGAAGAAACTGTTGTCGCTCAGACCCGGTGGACTTCTGATCAAACATACCGGCCTGAATTACTTTCTCGTCCATGTTCAATTTGTATCTGGCCGCTGCCAATATTCGCTCCTCCACCGAATTGACAGTCATTAATCGAAGTACGCGCACTTCGTTCTTCTGTCCTATTCTGTGCGCTCTGTCTTGAGCTTGCAAATCCTGCAAATACGCAAACAAACGTGTATTTCACATTTAAATTCAAACAATTCAACACACATTATGTGTGTTAATATCACCTACCTGATGAGGATTCCAATCCGAATCAAAGATGATGACCGTGTCCGCAGCCTGGAGATTCAAACCGAGACCGCCGGCGCGCGTAGACAATAAGAACAGGAAATATTCCGATCCGGGATCGTTGAACTTCTTTAACAGATCTCCTCTGTCTTCCGCTTTCGTTGTGCCGTCCAATCTTAAATACATGAATCCCCGCCAACTCAGATAATCTTCCATAATTGTCATCAACTGAGTCATTTGGCAAAACAGTAATACTCTGTGATTTGTAGCCTTCAGTTTGGGTAAAATACGATCGAGAAGTTCGAACTTTCCGGACGCGCGAAACAGATCGGGTCTGAAAAATTGAAGATGTTGGAGCACACGCGCGATCAAACAAATAATCACATTTATAATTTTAAACGTCATGTGTAATCGAGAGAGATATATGTATGTAATACGTACCCGGTAATAACGCCGGAACCTTGAGTGCCTACGTGTTCGCAATATTTCTCTTCTATAGCTTGGAACATAAACGGATGATTGCATAGTTTTCTCAATTGTACGATTGTGTTCATAAGAGCTTTCGCGCCGCCCTTGCCTTGCTTTCCCTTTTCCGATCCGTCGGTTAATAACACACCTTTACTCTGCATGTGTCTGGAAAAGAAAAAAATCAAGTTTTTGTTTACATATCATTTTCTCCTCTGTGTAAACTGTAGCGTCGCGAAGATGAATTACGTACTTGTAAAGTACTTTCTGCAGACCAGACATGTCGCATTTGATAATGTACTCCACTTTGTCGGGCAATTGCGACTCCACTTCTTTCTTCAAACGTCTCAGTAAGAAAGGCCGCAAGACTTTGTGCAAACGACGGATAATTAAAATGGTCTCTTCCTCGTTCAGTTCCACCTGTGTGACATAACGCGATATAATGTTAAATAATGTTAAATAAAAATACATTGTGAAAAACGTGAGTATCAATTTTTTGTACTTGCCTTTTCACCAGTGGTAGCGAAGGGAGCGTTGAACCACTGTTCGAACGTGCTGCAGGATTTGAAGATCGAAGGCAGCAGGAAATTCAAGAGCGCCCAAAGTTCCGGCAATTTGTTTTGCAACGGCGTACCCGTTAACAATAGCCGGTGGGGAGCCAAGTAATGCGTGTTCAACACTTGTGTCAGTTTGCAATGATGATTCTTCATCCTGTGACCTTCGTCGATGATCATGTACTTCCATTGCAACTTGGCTAATACACCCTTGTCTTTTATAACGTATTCGTAAGTCGTCAGTAGAACGTTGAACTTTGTGGCTCGCATCTGAGACTGTATCGCCCTTCTGCCAGCTGGAGAACCTTTGTAAGACACTACGACAACGCTTGGCGCCCATTTCTCAAATTCGAGAACCCAGTTCGATAATGTCCTAAAAACACACATATAAGTGTAATATATAAAAATAAATTTAGTTTTAAAATTTAGTTAAAAAATTAGTTGAGTAATGTAGAAACTTACGATAATGGAACAATGATAAGGAATGGACCGTTGACTTTTTTCTTCTCCATAAGATATGTTACTAGAGCGATAGTCTGGATTGTTTTACCGAGACCCATCTCGTCCGCCAAAATACCGTTTAGATTATTGTTGAAAAGTGAAACTAACCACTCCAAACCCTAAAATTATTAAGATTCGATATTTTACTCATAGTAACTGCAAAAAATCGTTCGACACAATGAAAATTGTACATGAAAATCGAAATAAATACCTTAATTTGATATTCTTTTAGTTTTCCATTCACCATAATGCTCGCTTGCTCCGTGACAACTTCGTGTACAGTGTGAGCAATACTATAATATGTCTGTTCTTCTGTTTTGTATTCGTCGTCCTCCACTTTCGCTTTGTGTATCGTTTTCTTAACTTTATCTTCTTCGGAATCGCCCGGGGCTTTCTCTTTATTTAAGTGATATTATACGAAAATTTGTGTGAATTCTTTTTTAAAACAGAATATATATAAAAAAAAAGAAACTTACTCTCTGATTTGTCGCTTTCGCCATTCTCTTCCTCATCTTCCTCACCTTCTTCATCCTCACTTTCCGATTCAATCGGCTCCCATCCGGGATGTTGTTCCAAAAATGCCGACAATTGACTCATCAATGGTGCCTCGTCGCCGGTTAATGTGCGGCCAGTGGCCGTTTCTATCACACCGACACGAGTGTCATCGTTAGCTGTGCCCTCTTCACCGTTCTCGCCATCTTGTATCTTCTTCTTTTTCTATGTAATCACACAAAATACAGCATTGAGATATCACAAATAATCCAATTTGATATATTTAATAAAAAAAAAGTTACTTAAAAAAATACACAAGATTACCTTCTTGCGTTTTTGTTCCTCAACTTGTTTCCGTTTTTGTTCTATTTTGTGTTGCTTAACCATTTCCGTGAGATTGCTGATATACTCGTCGGTTTGGGACAACAAGAATGCCAAACGTTTGTCTTTCTTTTGATCGATCAGTTTCCTATATCCCTCTTCGTCTTCCGCCATGAGACGGCGCATACGCTCTTTCTCAATGCGCTCTTGTTCTTTCTTCTGTTCCCGTTCGGCGTTCGCGTGATAATTAAGCACTGCTTTGTTAAGTCTAGCCAACTTCGCGACGTTATTGCGATGAAATTCTTTGAAGTCCTTGCCATGTTGTAACACGGAGGTGAGAAATTCCTACAAACGTAACGAAAAAACTTACATTCGTGTTTCTTTATTCCTGACGATATTATTGACGTGTCATATTGATACATCGAACAAACTTACTTGATGTTTCTGTCTTCGTTTACGTTCTGCTTCTAGTTTCTGTTGCTTCTCTAACTTTTCGGTAGCCCTGGCTTCGCGCAATCCTTGCCGCTTCGTACGTTTATAAGCTTTCACATTTACCGCAGTCTCAAGAGTGGTGTCTTTTCGTGTACATGCTATGATCTACGAAGAATCGCGGATATGTACAATTAGTAATTATTCAACTTTGCACTGAATAACGGCAAAGCCGTTGGTTTATCGCAATAAATACCTCTGATCTTAATTGCCTCTGGAAATTTAGCACTCTAAGCATGCGCAGTTCGATCTGAGCTTGTATTCGGAGATCTTCTGGCATGTTTGTCGGTAAATTGCTGAGTTGCTCCATTCTAAGTGATATGCGAGCCGCGACTCTGTTAAGAACCATCGATTTGTTGTCATAATTTGTCGACGAACATAACAATAATAATTTGCCCTGTGCGTTACAACGATTTGTTGCAAGTCTCTACCTGTTTTCTCGTTCTTGCAGTATCAATAACGGATCCAACCCAGCGGGCTTCGCCACGCTCGTCACTCTATTAGTTTTAGCTCCTGGCTGAGGTTGTTGCTGTTGTTGTTGTTGCTGCTGTTGTTGCTGTGGCGTTTGACAACCCGGTCTAGCACCTGCAGGACCAATAACATTTGGACCCGGTATTTGTGGCCCAGCTGTTGTAGCCGGGGCTTGAGACGGATCTATGGGGCGTTGACCCATCCCTGGGGGAGCAGGACCGCCACCTAATCAAGTCCGTCTTCTATCAGTATCATCCTACTCCACTTTTGTACGTACCACAATATAGTTTTGGTTTCATTACGTAGTTTATTAACGTTGTGTAAATAGAATTATTAAGCGTATATCAAGATGTAACGTGTAAAATTATTCAGCAAAAGTTTACTTCAATACAAATCAATATATTTAACGACAAAACGTAAACATTTAAAAACTATAAAAGCGTATACACATAATAATGTGTACTATTAAACAAAAGCATCTTGTACACAACAATTTATTTAGTATATATTTTATAAATGCAGAAAAAGGGTACGCGATGCGCAAGACCATTTATGTTAAAATTTACGTTTTCATTCAGGATGCAATATGTATCAAAACCCAAAGCAAAAGGCTTAAAGGAGAAAAAAATGTACTAGAGAAATTCTACTTATAATAAGCAAAACAATTTCGTACGGCAGAAAGAGATACAAAAGATAGAGTAGTCAACTGAAGCATGTAGATTCATATGGGAATACACTTAGAGACTCACCTTGTGCAGCCAGTGAAATTTGTTGAGGTACCGGTTGATTTCTTGCTAACAATCTGTACGCCATTATCTGAGCTCTGTGTACATAAAAATTAAAAAATAAAATTATATGAAACAAAATATAGAGGAGAGTTAAAATCTTCTAACTTTTTTTAGGTTATAAATAATAGGTTTTTTTCTACGTTTTTTCTACATATTTATAAATCATGTGTGACATGCAGTACCGTAGTTGTTGCATTTGTTGTGGATTAAATGCTTGCTTCTCTCCCATGCCGCTGCCTTGACGAGCTCTTAAGGCTAACAATTGAGAATATCGAGGATCTTCTTGTAAGCCTTTTTCTTCCATGGAGTCAATAGCTTTTTGAAGAGCATTCAGATTCTCTTGTCCGGGCCCAGGTTGTCCTGTAGGACCGGTAGGTCCAATCTGTCCACTTCCAGTTTGACTCATTTGGTTTACTGGTGCACCCGATCCAAGCGGCGGTGTTCCACCGGAAACTTGTCCTTGATTTTGACTCCCGGGACCTATTGAAGTAGTAGGAGTAGTAGGACCCATTTGACTGACCGGTCCGTTATGCCCCATTTGCCCGCCAGTGTTCGCATGACCAAGTTGATTACTCGGACCACACGGTCCCATTTGATTGCTCGGAGTGCCCGGACCCATTTGACCAACCGGGCCTCCTTGCATCATTTGATTCGGACCACCAGATGAAATTTGTCCCCCTGGTCCCATTTGACCAGCGGAAGTACTTCCTGGTCCCATTTGACCACCAGGACCGCTTCCTGGCCCCACTTGGCCTCCGGGTGCACTGCCACCATGTCCCATTTGTCCACTGCCAGGTCCCATTTGGCCTCCAGGTCCGCTTCCAGGTGTCATTTGACCACCAGGTCCACTAGCAGCGTTTATTTGTCCTCCAGGACCATTTCCTGGGCCCATTTGACCTCCAGAAGTGCTCCCAGGACCGGCTGACCCCATTTGTCCTCCGGGACCACTACTCGATGTCATCTGGCCGCCAGGTCCACCAACTGAGCCAATTCCAGGTCCGTTAGGTCCATTTCCTGGTCCCATAGAAACAGGTCCACTACTTGTTGTCATTGGCACGTTTCCTGGGCCACTTCCCGGACCCATTTGACCAAGATTGTTCGGACCCATTTGACCTACAGGACCACTTCCTGGCCCCATTTGACCACCCGGACCGGATGGTCCCATTTGGCCGCCTGGTGCGCCTGGTCCTAGTTGACCGCCTGGACCAGAAGGTCCCATTTGATTGCCTGGTGCACCTGGTCCCATTTGTCCACCTGGTGCATTTATACTCATTTGACCCGGTGGTCCACCCATGCCCATTTGTCCAGGTCCATTCGGACCCATTTGCGATGGTCCGTTATGACCCATTTGACCAGGTCCGTTCGGTCCCATTTGTCCTGTCTGTCCAGGACCTATCGGTCCGTTCGGTCCCATTTGTCCTTGATTACTCGAAATCATCTGATTCGGTCCACCCGGAACCATCTGGTTCGGACCTCCTGGACCCATACCGTGTCCTGTAGGACCACTTGCCATCTGATTAGGAGCTCCACCCATGTGACTTCCCGGACCGCTCGCGTTCATATGCGTAGATACTGGTGGGCCACTTGCATTCATGTGACCAGAAATTGGAGGGCCAGTGCCCATATGACCACCTGGTCCAGGTGGTCCACTAGTATTCATGTGCCCCGGCCCGGGAGGACCACTCCCGCACAAATTGGTAGATCCTTGTGGCCCGCTGGCGTTCATGTGTCCTGATACAGCTCCTCCACCCATGTGTCCTGGACCAGGAGGTCCACCAGAAGTCATGTGTCCTGGTCCTGGTGGACCGCTTGCGTTCATATGACCTGGAGGTCCTCCCATGTGTCCGGGTCCTCCGGGAACCATTTGAGAACCTTGAGGACCTCCACCCATCTGAGGACCTTGCATCGGTCCAGTTCCAGGACCCATTTGCCCTGGCGCGCCTTGACCCATATGAGGACCACCACCTTGCACCATATGAGATGGCGCCATTTGTCCTGGACCTCCTGGTCCCATTTGTCCAGGACCTCCTGGTCCCATTTGTCCAGGTCCTCCGGGACCCATTTGACCTGGACCACCGGGACCCATTTGACCCGGGCCGCCGGGACCCATTTGACCTGGTCCATTAGAACCCATTTGGTTGGGACCGCCTTGCATCATATGAGATCCACTTTGTGGACCATTCGGACCCATCTGGCCAGGCACCATAGGTCCTCCGGGACCCTGAGAAGTTGGAACTTGGCCTACTGGGCCGCCTGGCCCTTGATTCTGTAAGAAAAAGACACCTCAATATAAATCACAATGTTTCAGATCGAAGATACTTATAGAAATTGAATTGAGTTACAAAGTTTAGCGACTAAACTTCAATCAATCAATTCACGATGTTTGTTTCATTGCACATATATACGGTAACACGAAGAGTATACATAAAGGCGAAATATTTCTAGTCAAATAGTAAAAATGAAATATAAACACTAAATACAGAGAAAGAGAGAAAGAGAGAAAGATATATCGCATAACAAGTAATAACACACCACCAATTGTTTTTCCAAAGTTCCTACAAATTTACATGTATAATAAAGTAACAAAACTTTCATACATCAAATCAACAATTGCTTATGTTTGTCATGTGCTATATGTGCCGTGGATGATTAATCAATCCTGTGATATAATGATGAACGATTAACATGGATACAACTACAAGTGAGTAACGATTATCCGTGAAGAAATGCGTATATCTTGTACGTCTGAGACGTCTCGATGTGATATTAAGATTATCAACGTGTATTTGTTTCATAAATATTTCACATATGTCTTGTATAAATATTTAAAAATATAAATATATACTTTTCTCTTAGACTTTAATTGATTCTGTAGGCTTTTCTTTATTGTTTTCATATTCGAGCGCATAACCAGACTTCCATTCGTCTCGTTCACACTGTTAACTAGGCGATATGTCACGTTCCTCAGGCATGCTACCGGCATACAAATCCGACTAAATCACACGAGTAGCAGACAATAAACAATGACTGACACAGCAGTTGACACGGCAATACCTTATCTACTGCAGTTAATGCAACAAGCTGCAAAAAAAGCGCTTAGACAAACGTGTAATAAGATTCTTTGAGCTTTCACTTCTTCGTAGAATTTTGAAGATAAGATCCCTTCTTTGCGAAAAATTCAATCGGTCCGTTATCTTATCTTTTTTTTGTCTTCAACATATTTCTTTATTAGCTATAAAAATATTATTTAATTAGCGCTTCAATTCTAACTGCGCAAAAAAATTAACGTTTGCGTGATATTGTTCGTGTTGTAAAGAGATTCAACTGCGAGTTTGACTTCGTCGAACTTGGCTATTCCACTTCGACCTGCGGAATAATTCCGAACGAAATTGTTCCTCGTCGGCGAACTTTGAGACGGCGCCAATATAAAATCAAATAATCAAAGCGTTTGGCGATTCGATGAATAACGTCTCAATTAGTGACAATCATATCTCTTTTTTCTCAATAAATCAATCAATAGAGATTAATGTTTATTCTAAAAAACGTATTAATATTCAAAATTGTACATATTATCTATCACAACAAATTTTAAATAAAATTGAACGCTTTTATAAACGCTAAAATATCATTATTATAAGCATGCAGCCAAAGATGGCAGCGACGACTACATTGACGTTCCTTCATCAATTGATTCTAACTATTATTGATCTACAAATTAATAAAAAATAAGCATCTAAAGTTTCATGTTCATTGTGTATCAGTAAAAAAAAATGTTCTTACAACGTGTCACTAATAGAGACGTTCCTATTTCTACAACGTATCACTAATAGGGACGCTTTTATTTCTATGACGTGTCAATAATTGGGACATTTGTACGCTTATCACTCATCAGGTGATAAGCGTACGGGCAACATGTGTTACAAACTGGGACAATTTCAAAGTCATGTGTCATTAAATGGTACAAAAACAATGATTACAAAGATATTATAAATAAATTACAAATTTTTAAATAAGTAGAAAAATTTAATTTTATTAAAATCTTAAATGTCCACATTTTTGAAAAAAATTAATTTTATGTACTTATTGTGACATATATATCGATAATTTTTTTTAAATTCATTGTCACGATAAAGTAAGTGTGTCACTAATTGGGACATTTACCTATCATCCCGACGAATCGACCTTCTCGCTGAATTAGGTCTGAGTAATGTGTGTGTGATGCAACAGATAAAGAAAACCTATATTGTGAACGATGTTTTGCGGTACGATGAACAATCGAACGCAACGTAGCGTGAATTAAAAAAAAAAAAAAAAATACGAACGGTGTTCGCCGATAGGTGCGATGGAAAATTTTGTTGTGCGAAACTTTTCGAGATCGAGAACACAGAGAGAGAGAGAGAGAGTAACTTGTGTCGCGCCTATTCAAGCCTAATTTGTCGTGATGTAGGGTGAACTTTTCCATTGCCTGAGGTTCGGCACGGCCGTTTGAAAACTTTGATTCCCTGCCACAGCATGGCGTGTCGGAAGGAGCACATGGAAAAGAACCCGAGAGAGGATTCAATATTCCTATTAAGCCGAATGAAAACTCCATAGTGGGGGTGACAATCGCGCCATAAGAACGACGCTTTCGCGATTCCGGACGGTATTTTAACTGGTGCGAGCTTTCGCGATGCGTTGTCTGCAAACTTGCAGGGAGGTAAGACACTTCGGAATCAAATTGCTGGGAATCGCGAAGATGATGACCACTCAGAAGGAGCTCGACTGCTGCTACGACTTCGCATTGGATCTGATTAAAGAGTCTGGAAAGGTATTATACTCGCGCTTAAAATTTTGTTCAAAAACAAAAACCACTCCGATTTCAAAAATTGACGTAGTATCCAGTCTAACGCTAGACAATCGCGCCCATGTGTCGCATAAAAGCTCTCGAATCTGTGTAAAAAAAAAAAAAAAAAAATATGTAAAAGCGTTAAAAAACATTGTTATTGAAAATGCATCGTACAATAAAAATGATATCGATATGATAAATATATTATTACGTGTGCACTTGAAGAAGTACAGAAAAACCATATATATTCACAATTATATGACATATATTGAAAGAATATTTAAGATATAAAGCGGATAATAATTAGACAAATTACATAATCATAAGATATTAATGCACAGTCTAAGTAACAAGTATCAGTAATTGATCAATAAAAGTCTCCTCTCACAGTCCAATTACTGCAATCGAGTTACATGTACAAAAAAAAAAAAAAAATATAATTAATGACAGAAAAAAACTTCGATTCGATTGCGAGACGCGGGGACATTCACTTTTAGCGCAATTTCTCGTTGAGAAAGAGATCGAGAAATTCATTGTTAATTAACATGCTTAGAAAAAAAATTATTATACGTGTCATGCAGAGATTCTTGTGCGTGCAATTTTTTATTTTTTTATTCTTTTTTTTATTGTTTTATTTTTTTATGTGTTTATAAGACAAATTATTATTAGAAAAGAATTAACGAAACTATCTATTTTCTGAAAACAATCAGCGCCATTACCTCATTTATCGTTTTTGCAGAAATAACGTTAAGATAACAGACACGTGCAACATTACTTTCAGGTGATCCGTGACGCTTTCCAAGGATCTAAGAAAATCGAAACAAAAGCTGGTGATTGGGATTTGGTGACGCAGTACGATAAAAAAGTCGAGGCGATTTTAATCGACAACCTGGCAAAACAGTTCCCGACGCACAAGTGAGTCGCCAACAACCAAATATTTCGAAAGAATTTTTATTCGCTCGAAGAGAATTTAATCAATCACGCGCGTTACAGAGAGAGATTTAATTTACGCACGGAGAAAAAAGTATATACAATGCGCAAATGTAAAATATCTGAATTTACTCTATGTCTCGAATCCACTGAAGAATTCGCGCGAATCATATTTGCCAGGTTTATCGGCGAGGAAACAGTGTCGTGTTCCAATTCGCTACCGGAGCTTACGGATGCGCCTACGTGGATCATCGATCCGATCGACGGGACAACGAATTTTGTGCATTCTTTTCCCCACACTTGCATATCAATCGCACTAGCTGTGAATAAGGAACTCGAGATTGGAATAATCTACAATCCTGTTTTGGAGCAATTATTCACAGCCAGGAAAGGCCATGGGGCATTTTTCAATCAGAAACCAATTAAGAGCTCGAACGTAGAAGGTGAAAAAAAAAACATACACACACACACACACAAACACACACTCGCTTCTGTTTTCACTCTTTCTTTGTTTCAACAATTTCCATTTCAAACGAGAATGCGTCGTAATTCACGACGTCGTCATCGATCAAGTGACAGTATACATACATTCTGCTGTACACACGTGTATAAAAACATAAACAATTCGTTTTTTTTTGTCTTTGACAATACGAACAAAGGCAAGCTTGTGCGATAACGTTGACGTTCTCTGATTGTCGCCAGATGTTCATCACTCCTTGCTCTGTCTGGAGGCCTCGTACGCGACCATCGAGGATATTCGCGATATCGTTCTGGGAAGATTGGAAGCCTTCGTCTCGGTGGCGCACGGAGTGAGGACTCTGGGTTCGGCGGCGTTGACTCTGTGCCACGTGGCCATGGGAGCAGCCGAGGGCTACCATTCCGACAATCTGATGCCCTGGGACGTGGCCGCCGGTGTTCTTATCATCAGAGAGGCCGGTGGCGTGGTGATCGACACAGACGGTGATACAAAAAATTACATTTATATACGTAAACACAATCTCTCTGATGTCGGTAGTCGACATCAATTTTGACGAAACAAATGTGACTTCGTTTAGGTGGCGAATTCAACGTTATGGCACCGAAGGTGCTGGCCGTCGGCAACTGCAAGCTGGCGAAGGATCTCGTCAAACTGATAAAACACGCGGATCTCAAAACCCATCAGAGAAGACTATTATTGCAGACTGCGAAATAACGTTTCCCGAGATGTGCAACACACAACAACTTCGTTCAATATCTTTTTGCGTACAAGACGAAGAGAGTATGTACAGTATGTAATTAACGATTGTGAGCCCCGTAAAGATTTTTAGCGACGCGCTGAGAGAACTGCTGCGACGCGTGATAATATTCTAACAAATCAATGCGTATTGAACAGCGAAGAACATGCTCATGCGTAGGATTAATAACGCTAATTGAAAGGACGCACGCGAGATTGGCTTGTTGTTAACTGCTAGTCTCAAATTGCAGGATCTCCTCGCGGTTCGAGAGCGAGCTCGATCCATCAAGTTAATCGACGACGAGTGTTGACAATCGGTATCGAGAAATAAATCGCGCGTAATGATCACGATAATGTTTGATTAAGATCAAACGATAACGATAATTTTTTGTTTTTTTTTTATAGCTTGTAATTACAATTGTTGTGTATTTAACAACATTGTGTATTTTTGGCATGTTTTAATATTAATAAAAAAGTATATAAAAAAAGTAAATTAATAAAATTAAATTTTAAAAAATTAATAAGTTAAACAAAAAAACAAAATTATATTGTAAACAATTTTATATCGTAATAAGTTACCATATTATACAAGTACAAGCGCGAATACCATAAAAATGCGTTTAAAAGGCTTCGATTTACGGCGTTTTAAAATAAAAATTTATAGCTGTTGAGCCAAAGAGCGTACTGCGACGTATCTACTCGTAAAGAAATTGTCACTAGAAAGAAGCATACACAGTTTATCTCTCGCGTAATTGCGAAACAATAATTTTGAGGCCATTTTACTTTCTCCTCGAAAGTGTGTAAATGTTCATTTCTCGCGCAATCACTGATTACTGATAAGACAAGACAGACTATTTAAACGACTCGCCGTTCAGTCAACAAAGCCCTTGATGTTGCGTGAACATGTCAGGCGACACGGACATCGCGAGATACTTCGAGTTCGCGAAGAACCTCACGCTGCAAGCTGGAAAGGTGAGTCACACTTCGTGGATGAAAAAAAAAAAAAACTTTATTCTCATTTGTAAAGCGATTGCATATAAATCCTGAGGTAGATAAATAGCGAACGTAATAATATTCTGTTACATAAATAAATCAAGCATTTTCACGCGGAAATAAAAACGTCTTTAACGTTCGACTAACGTGATTCTTGCGTAACGCGCGTAAAAACGTAAAAAACTTTGATCGCCAATTTGCAAAGAACTTGCGCTTTTTTTTGTTTCTTAACTATTTCAATCGTGTACTCAATGTCTTGCGTAAAAAAACGATCGAAAGTCCATTTGACGCTCGCAGATACTCAAATGTGATCTACTTGAAGATAACACAGTTAAAAAACTCAACCTAAGAAACTACACCGAACTCGTGACCGATGTCGACCACAGAGTTGAGAATCTGTTTATCGATAGCCTGTCGAAGGAGTTTCCCGATCACAAGTGAGTTGTTCGCGGAAACAATGAAACATCTCTCGTGTTGTGTCGACATTTATGTTAAAAAATTAAATCGTGTGTTGCGCACACAGGATTATCGCGGAAAAAACGACGAAAGACGAACAGACGCCGGAACTGACGGACGCGCCTACGTGGTTCATCGATCCGATCGACGGAAACAACGAATCCGGAACAACGAATTTCGTGGACACGTTCTTCACGAGTTGCATATCCGTCGGTTTGACGGTGCGCAAGGAACCTGTTCTGGGTATTGTCTTCAATCCCTCGCACTCGGAGCTGTACAGCGCGACAAGAGGCAAAGGCGCGTTTCTGAACGGGAAACCAATTCGCACTTCCAACGTTACCGGTGATTATAGCGCGTTATTTTCCGCGCAAGATGTGTGTGTAAGTTTAGCGCGCGTTTCTGAAAACAGACGAGCGCATCTTCCGCGACGATCACGAGAAAAATTATGTGTTCTCACGTGATTCGCGTACAAGTTTCGTTCCGTGTAATGAGGAGGCTTTATCCGTTTTATGTTTCTCGCTATTGTTAATCGCACGCTTCGCTCGTCGTTTAATGTGGTCGCTGTGTATAATGATCAGCCACCGGATTACACCGATTACATGTTGGTAGATTTCTTCCAGGGAAAGAACCGCGTGCGATAAATTCCACAACGCGAATGAAGAAAAAAATTACAACAGAGCTTCTCATCGCGCGTTAAACCGTTTTCTGTTTTTCTTTCGTTTCGCAGAACTGAAGAAAGCGATGATAACGGTCGAGCCGTTGTGTCCAAAATGTTCCACGACACCCAGAGACATCGTTATAGGCAGATCGGAGGCTCTGACTATAAACACACAAGCGTAAATTTAATTGCAATTACACACAAATATTCGACGAGTATTTTGAAATTTTGTTCTATCTTTTTTTGTTTCAATATTTGATTTCTAATCAAATTTTTCAGAACCAGATCTCCCGGATCAGCCGCTCTGTGCATGGCGTACGTGGCGCGAGGTAAGCTAGATTGTTTCTACTTGCACGGACTTCGATCATGGGACACCATGGCGGGAACTGTAATCCTACGCGAAACGGGCGGAAGTGTCATCGACATGAAAGGTACGTAATAATAATAATTGAAATATATCTAAATTTGCTTTACCGCTCAAAACATAAATATCATGAAATGGAGTTGCAAAAAAAATCTACACGTAACTATAAAACTCTTTTTTTAAATTCCACGAGGTTGCGACTTCTTGTAAGATCAAGACTGATAGGGGGAGATTGATTGAAGGAGAAGAAGACACAGACTCTCTCCCTGTGCGCGGAGAAACGTGTAAAAAATTAATTGCCATAATCGTTCTCAGGTGGTGCTTTTAATATCATGAAGCCGAATCCCATAGCGGCGTCGTGCGAGACTCTGGCGCGAGAGGTGCATAAATTACTCGTCGATACCGATTTAAAAACGCAAAGAAAACGACTTAAACGAACCTGTAACGCAAAGCAAAAGAAAACTCACGAATAAATGATAAACTGAATGTGAAGCAGAAGGCGTATCGTCGGGAACGTGTCTCAGCCTATCACGCAACACGAGGAAATTGAGAAACCAGTCTAAAGAGATTTACGTCGATGATTTCTATTGACGTAGAAGACACACAGATGTCGCAAATCGAAATTTAAATCGCGTCAACCGCATGGCGTACATGAAGTTGCGTGAAATCAATTAATGCGTTTTCCCAATCTTTTCCTCTCCACTTGATCGTCACTGTTATATAAATAAAATAAAATTCGTCTCGAAAGAGTTAAATGGTAATAAATAAGTTGTTTGTACGTGTGTGTGTACAACAACTTATTTATTACTTATTTATTACTTTAATTCTAAGTTGAGAAATAATTTTAAATTTATATACATAAAAATCCTCAAATATGCGATAATCTTTGGCAGCAATTTCGAACTTGATCTTGAGGAAAAATTCTTGACTAGGCAAGACAGAAAAAGAGTGCACGATTTCTCTTCACGTTGATGTCAGATTGAAATGAAAATGATAGTGATTTTAATTTCTTGCAACGTGTTTTGACGCGTTGTGTGTCGCAGTTTTTTTATAAATAACATTATGTATGTGTGTTGATCAGGAAGTGCGTACGTAAAACTGTCAATAACAGTCAATAATCTTGTGCGAGATTATACGTGCGACTTGTACGAGATCGCTTCTTGATAAAAATAAAAATAGAAAAATTCATACATATTACATCAAGATGATGACGGTTTCAATTAATTATCACACAAAATTTCCAAACTGAACTATGTGTGTCGTGCCGCTTAACAAGTCATCATGTAAATTGTAAATCAAACCATCTATTAATGCGTCTCTTTAATTATATGAGCAGATAATAATAATCCTTACGCCTGCGAGATACACACGACATTGTTTGTTTCTGTAAGATGTCACCGTTATGGAATAAGATAAAGGATACATATAAATATTCCGATGCGACAGTTTGATCACATTGTGCATATAATACAATAAATATTCATCGTCGCTCATCTTGTCCCGTGTCGTAAATTACTTTGGCACGGCAGATCATCTTCATTTCAATGCACGTATATATAAAGTATTCGACCTAATTAGTATTAATTCTTAGCAACGATATTTTTGCAAAGATTGTTTTTACGAAGATAGATGAAATCGGAAAGAAAGAGAATCTTAATGTGAATCTTAATGTGAATTTGTTTGTATAATCGACTTATAATTAAAGAATTTGTGATTTATCGAAGATTATAAATACTTGTGTAATGAACGCGCGTAAAAATTACAAATTCGATAAAAAAAAAAAACCAAAGCAAAAAATTGTTTAGTCACTGGTAATCAAGAACCGGAAGATGCCGCGGATAATGATCAAAATTATTACGGCGATAAATCAAACAATAATTTCGAAGTATCAACAAATCGCAACACGTAATTGCAAGACGCGCGCACAAGAGAGAAACGCTGGATATTATTATTCGCTGAGAATCAAGTTAGATTTTTTTTGAAGTCAAAGCAAACTTGTCCGGACATTCGAGATGCGTTGTCGCACTCTTTGGTTTTTCTTTCCAATGCAATTTTATATCTTTTAATCAAATTGTTGTTTTCAATCAAATCCGCGCGAATCAAGTAGGAAGGAAATGTTGCGCAAATGTGCGAAAGATTTGCATATCTTACATGTAATTTTTTTTTTATTGATTTACCACGCATCGCCCGAGGGAATTCAATCGTGTTCGCGTGTAATAACTGAAACTACCTTAACTGCTCGCGCGGCGTAAACAGATATTTAGCGATGAAATTGCAAATTTTTTTTTTTAATTACTGTGAGAAATAAACCGATCGGTCTCCTCTTTGTTCGAATAATCGCGTCGTCGAAATCGCATCGCGGCGAACGGGGCAGGAATTAAGCGCACAATTAAGCGCGCACGTCTCGGACAGGTAAAAATCAAGGTCTGTCTCAAGCGTTGCTATTATCTCGTCACATCTCTCGTAAGGCGAACAAGATAGTTGCACACAATACATCGGTAATATTTCAACACGGAATATTAATCAGCGAATCTAGCACACATCGTGATATAATGAAGGATATTGTAGGCAAATAACTCGCGTCTACTTCGCCGAGATCGGTCTGTCACTTGTATGTACTTGTCAACAATGTTATCTCGATAAACAACACGTGGAGATAATTCGGTACATTTGGCAATTAAATTTTTGTAAAATTTCGAGAAAACGAGAGAGAGAGAGAGACATATTTTCGCGAGTTTTATATATCGAACGCGCGTCACTCGATCGATTGTCGTCCTCCTCGGATCGGACCACGCGCAACCGATTCGAGTGAAAAGCGCGAGCCGCAGAAGCGGCCAACATCAGTGCTCGCTCGCACCTTTTCCTGACGAGTTCGGATATAGTCGCAGAGTCGTCGTTGTTCTTCGTCATCAGGCTTGCGCGAGTTAAAAATGGCGCGATACGCAGAGAACGTGTACTACGAAACTGCCATGAAACTGGCTCTGGAGGCTGCCCAGGTAAGCGAACAAGTCCGCGTTTGTGTGATCGGAACGTGTCAAAAAAAAAAAAAAAAAAAAAAAACACCATTTTGACGATTGTCGATTGATGCGATTTGAACAAAATACGGTTTGTGATAATTCTTCGTGACTTGTTGGCTCGAAGACGACGCTAACAAGAAAATAAAACGACTAGCTACTCGAAAATAGACGGTTTTTTGCTAGACAACGCCTATCGATCGAAAGTTTGTCAATCGGCTCAGTAGCTAGAACCGAAATGTTGACACACCATGTCTATCTAACATTATGTACAAGGGACTTGACGAGTTCTTCGAGACCGGAATAATTTAATACCCGACAAAGATAAGAAAACGTTAAATAGCGTTTTGTTCACAAAACCGTCATTAATTCTATGATAAGACAATGACAAGCAATTCCGCTGTGAACGTTAGAATTTTCCTTTCCCTCGCGTTTCAGGAAAATGATTAAGTTTGATGTAGAAGTTGTAAAATACCGCGAATCAAGCGATTGTAAAGATTACAAACGACGTTTGAAACGCGTCTATTTCATAAACGCAACAACAACAATATAACGTCATCATTGCCGCGCGTTTGTTCATTTATCAAGATTTTTTATTTACGGCGGTATTCGATATTTTTCGATCGCCCGATATATATGACGCATCTATTTCAGATTCTTCGAAGTTCCATCAGCGGTCGCAAAAATATCGACCAAAAACTGGGAGATTGGGATCTTGTTACCGAGTACGATCGCAAGATCGAGGACGTCATCATCGGCAAGCTCAAACAAGCGTTTCCCGATCACAGGTGATGAATAAGTAACGAATATCCGACGCAAATGCGGAATACGAATGGCGGAATTAAATGGCGATTCTTTCTCGCATTAGATTCATCGCGGAGGAATCGACCAAGGAGCTGCCGGAATTAACCGACACTCCGACGTGGATCATAGATCCGATCGACGGTACCATGAACTTCATTCACGGATTTCCGCACACTTGCGTGGTCATCGGCCTGGCCGTGAAAAAGCAGATGGTCCTCGGTATCGTGTACAATCCCGTTCTCGAGCAGCTGTTCACGGCGCGAAAGGGACGCGGCGCGTTTCTGAACGGCGAGCCGATCCACGTGTCCAAGATCGAAGGTAATATCCCGATCGATTTCTTTCAGCGATCCGATTTGACTAAGACGACGCGCGAACGGAGCAAATTCGGGAGCGCGTCACGGATCGAAATTTGTTTTTAGTTTAAAATTATTTTAAGTAAAGAGCAGAACTCGACCTCGAACTGCGGAAAAAACGACACTTGTTATTTGAATCAAATGCGTTTTTTAAACGCAATGCGGTTTTTAAACGACCGTGTCGACACGCGTGTGATTTCAGAGAAATCACACCGTTGTGTCTCCCTAAAATGTGTTACAAGGACGAACGGAAGAAACGCGCGCGCACGGAGAGACATTATTAAATAATATAACTCGGCGATCTTTAAATGTCAAATTAATATCGACTTTTGCAGACTTGTCTAAGGCGTTGGTTTGCATGGAATCGGGTTTCATTAAAATAGACGATCTACGGGAGAAGACGGTGGAGAGAATCCAGGCTGTTGTCAGAGCGGTTCAGGGGTAAATAAAGCTTCGATTCATAAAATGGTTACATAAAGCGACCTCGAAAGCGAAGTCACTTCTTCGCATATCCTTTCTCTCGTGCCACTTATTTCGCTTCGTAGCATCCGCACTCTCGGCGTGGCGGCTCTCACACTGTGCTACGTAGCGCTGGGCATCGTGGAAGCTTATCACATCGAGGGTCCTGGCATTTCGACGTGGGACATAGCCGCGGCGTCTCTCATCATCTCCGAAGCGGGAGGCGTCGTCGTTGATCGTGTAACAGGTCTGTCTTTTTTTTTTTTTTTTCAGCTCTGGTTTTTACGCTCGACTGAATTATGCAAAATGAAACACTTCAATTGCCGACTGGAACAATTACGGAAACAAAAGTCGTAAAGACATTAATGAAACATGACTCTTGTCATCTCTGTGTAATTATTTTGCACACAAAAAAAAAACTACATTACTTATGTTTACACTTCAACGGCTGCGATATCTACTTCCTCGGTTTTTTTTTTCTTCTCCGTTTCAGGCGAACCGATCGACATCATGAAACCACGAGCGGTGGCCGCGTGCAACGACAAGATCGCCCAGGACGTCGTTCGGATTATTCGCGAAGCCGATCAGCGGGTGGAGATGAGAGCGAAATAAATGAAAATCATCGTCGAGAATCTCTGAACTGTGCGCTTCGGCGGTCGAAACACGTAAAACTTGTAGATCTCGAAGTGCGCGAGAATGAGTCACGAGGAAAGAGAATCGGTTTTGCTTTCCTGAAAGCAGTCAGTCGATCGAATAGAAGATACACGCACAGCTCAAAGTCAAGTTTACGCAGTCACAAGTTGCGTAAAAAAAACTCGTTAACGCAAAAAACAGTAGTAATCTCATCGAGAGAGACATGTATACCGCAAGCAATAAAATGATTGATTTCCGTAATTCTGTTTTTTTTTTGTTTAATGCAACCGTATCCATTAACTCCGCTCGAACCTACAATCCGTCCGAGAGTTGATTAAAATTAATAAGCAATTGCGCAATGTGCGAGCAATCGCGCGATGCGAACTTGGAATATTATCGCGCTTTTGCAATTAAACACGGCGAGATAATCCCGCACGGATCATCCCGCTTACGGATCTCGTCCGTTTCGCGGCCGACGATTATAATCGGCGGAGTCCTCCGCGACTATATAAAACAAAAAGAACGACTGTGTCGCGCTTTCCCAGGGAAATTCCACGTCCCGTATGTGTTCCGCGATGTGTCATCTTAATTATAGAAACCGATCGCGCGAAAGACTGAAAAGGTAAAAAAAAAACGGTATTCACGAAAATTACGTGGAAACGGAGACACGGCGAAGGATATCACGTCGTTTTATCCCCCGGATTATTCCGTTCTCGCACGCAATCAACTTACAACAGCGTACCTTCCCAGTCTGAGAGCTCTGACGTCACTCGTCGACTGAATAAAAACACTTTCGCGATCATCGGCCGCAGATAAGTTTCGGCCCGATCTGCGTTCGACGTTCACTCGCGCATCCGACCTGGCAGGTTGACAATCGAACCCGTCGCTCCGCTCGAACGCACGAAATTGCACGACAGTTGCGAGAGTTCGAAGTCTTCGTTTTTTTTTTTTTTTTTCGAAACAATCGGCAAAAAAGATGAGCAAAGTGAAGGACCTGGACGAGTGCTACAGAGTCGCCGAGGAGTTGATTTTGTGCGCGGGAAAGGTGCGTTTATTAACTGGGCGAAAAAAAAAAGAACAACGCGACGATCAAAATGTCGCGGAAATTTCACGTGTTGCAAGAGTGCGAGATAGCGAAATAATTAGAGATAGGTGCCACGTCACGAGGTGGTAAAGACATTTAACTCGATCGAGTGAATGTTCGTTCGCGATAAAAATGCACAAGTCCATGCAAATAGAAATTTTTTTTAGCAAGTACGCGCCGTAGAATATATCAAATTCTTCTTCTCGACACGTGTTCCCTTGGAATATAATTTTCTGGAAATACCGTTGCATCACGTATGGTTACTCGTGAGATTGATAAAATATATTTCAAAAATATATCAGAAACAAAATAAAATAAAATAATTATTTATATTCGTTTGATGAATTAAAAATGTTTTTTTTTTAAATAGTCGTTGGATTTCTGTAACGCAGAAATTTTCAAGAAAATTGTTTTTTTTTTTAAATCTTGTGAGAAAATTTGTACAAAATTTTGCGGCACGAATTTAATTATCCTTGCAGATAATAGAAGACAGCATCGACACCAAGAAGACCGTCAAGAGCAAAGGAATCGATTGGGATCTTGTCACGGAATACGATCGCAAGATAGAGGACAAATTGATAAAACAATTGTCCGTACGATTCCCATCGCACAAGTAAGTTCGTACGACCGAGAGAAACGGTCAACGATCGCCACAATGAGACTCGATGTGTTTTAGATTTATTGGAGAAGAAACGGCGGCGAAGGAAGGTTGTTTGCCGCAATTGACTAACGATCCAACATGGATAATAGACCCGATAGACGGCACGACCAACTTTGTGCATCATTTTCCGCACACTTGCATTTCCGTGGCGTTACTGATCAACAAAAAAGCGGAGATCGGCATTATATACAATCCTCTCATGAGGCAGTTCTTCTCCGCGAGAAGACACTGCGGTTCCTTTCTCAATGGCAAGCCCATAAAAACGTCAGACGTGAAAGGTAAATTAGCATCTAATAACGTGGGAATACAATTAATTGATATTCGATGTTTTCGCGATTTACCTCATTTAAAGTTAAGAGCAGCCTGTGATAATTACGTAATTGTTCTTACATAAATCATAATTATAAAACCAAATTCGATACATCGTACCTGGTAAATATGTGATTTCTATATATTACTCTACACTGTCCTTGTTAAAAGTAAATGTAAGAGACACGCCGCTTAATGGTCCAGTGGAAGGTTATTCAATATCCATGCACAATCGCAGATTATATTACGCGTTGCGGTCGCAACGCATTTAACCGATGCATCCTTCGCAAAATCTATCAGTCTTGAATGTCACGAGTGTATTACAAAACTCTGTCTGTTTGCTATTCGAATGGATACTCCAACTACTCGGGAAAGTTTTCAAGTCTAAAATTTATCGTATAAATTATACTCAACACGTAAAAAATTGCTTTTTTTCCAGACGTATCTCAAGCATTGGTCGCCATGGAACCTTGGATAGCGAAAGATCCTCAGTATCTAGCCAGTGTGTACAGCAGAATGCACGCTCTGATACAAGGCACTCATGGGTAAATGTGTTTTCAAAAGATAATTTTGATTCAGACAAGATTTTTTCAAATAGTGTTCGCTACTTGGGCAGATCTTTGCTGACAGAGTGATTTTTTTTTCGTTTGTTTTTAGAATAAGATCTCTAGGAACAGCTGCGCTCACATTGTGCTATGTGGCAATGGGAGCTGTAGAAGCGTATCATATTGAAAGCATAGATGCTTGGGACGTTGCAGCCGGGAAGTTAATAATTGAAGAAGCGGGCGGAGCTGTGATAGACACTGCTGGTAAATATCACTCTTTCTTTTCTTATACATCCATAAACAATCCTATATATATATATATAATTGTGACATTAAATTAATTTCTCACTTGTTAAATTTCATTTTATAAAAAAAAAAAAAATTATCTCAAATTAAATAGCAGAAATATAATTTTTTTCTCAGGAGGAGAACTTGATATAATGCAGCCTAGAGTCATAGCGGCCTGTAATCAGCAAATTGCACAACAACTTGTGGATCTTTTCAAGAGAGCCGATTCTGAGATGCTCAATAAATACTTAAATTAATTGCACCGATATACGTGCTTCTCGTCACATTGCATAATGCTATGTGTACATACATACATATCATGTGTGACCTTTAAACACCCTTAAACACACAGTATTAGACAAGACTAGACAATGTATGTATTATATTTGCAATCAAAAATCACTGTATTCTAAGATTGAGATACCTTGTATCTTATATTTTACCTTATATACTCTTGTACATAATACATAATTCTTACTTGTTACACATCTGTACATAATTTTCATAGAATAGAATCAATAAATGTTTATTTCAATTATTCAGTTCTATTATTTTCAAGATACAAACCCAATGTCCTAAATTATTTATTTTTTTCTTACAAATGTCTAGAATCTAGAATCTGTGTACAGGCACTGCCATAAATAACAAATGTACAAATTTCGAAAAGCATGTAAAAGATATATCATTTCTGTCAATCAATTTAACATACCTGTGGACCCATATTAGGCGGCATCTGCTGCGGATGAGGGGGATAGTTTTGTTGTTGTGGTGGAGGCTGTGGTGGTTGGCTCATAGGAGGTGCTCCAGGTGGCATTGGCGGACCACTTTGATAACCCTGTGTGGGACTATGGGGATGGTGTTGCGGAGGTCCCATCGGACTGCCTTGTGCATTAGATGGGGACGGTGCCTGTTGAGGAGGACCCATGGGGCTAGGAGCTTGCGGAGGTGGCATGGGCGAAGACTGTGGCGAGGGGCTTGCCATATTCTTATACTCAACAAAAGATTCCAGTTTTGCTCGGCACAAATCACCTCTCCTGAAAAATCAGAAGCAGACGTTAGAATCTCCGGCGTTCGTTCACGCAAAAAAAAAACGGAAAATAAACACATTTGATTCCACGCTGTACAGAAAGAACACTGCACTTTTCGATAGCTGAAACCAACACAACGTCAAATACATATATAGATGTAACATTGACGAATTGGATTATTTTGTTCCTTCTCGAGCGCTATCAGCCTCGCGAAACACTCAAGGGCGTATCGGGAATCGCTCGTTGATGAATCGAAACCAAAGTACACCGCACAAAAACAAAAAGCCGACAAAAAACCAAGCCGAACGAACGGTCGCTGATGAATGCCCGTTTGCGCAGTGTTGCGACGCTGTCCGACTTCTTGCGTTCTTACGTACCGTTTTCCAGGATCACGTTATCGTATCGATGACGCCGGACTCGTTGTCCACGGCTATCATTCTACACTCGCGCCTCTTATCGAAAACATAAACGTATCACTCACTGTTTCTGTCAAAGGCTAAACTACCTGGAGCAATGTGAAAAGATACGAGCAGTCGGCCATATTCGCACCTCGATTTCCGGAGCAAGATGCGCTTTCCTTCGCGCTCGCTCGCCGGAAGTCGGCGCTCGCGGCAAATCGAACGCGAGCGAACATAACCTCATAGCACAGAAAAGACTGAGAACGGCCAGGTCCATATGATAAACTGTACTAGCTTTTCTGCCCTGTAGCCAGCGCTATGGTCACGGGTGGTGCACATCGCCAACTACGTAGCAATTGATCAAATCAGCCAATTGACGAGCGTGATTGGTCAATTTTACGAGATCTGTTCCTTGCGTTTGCGCTTGCGATCAATGTAGAACGGGCTTAAGAAAATGTGTGGAAATCGCTTTTCGTGGACATAGTTCAGAATAGAACCATGTCCACAAATATAGCACGGAATAGAATCATGTTCACGAAAAGCAATTGCATTTTTTCTTATGACTAGCACACACAGGCGCGCGCTACGCGCACGCTATTGTTATTTTTATTTAACGTGTGTCAGTGAACACAACCTGTCACCGCGATGACAGATAGTATATACCTACGTCTTATAAACCATATAATACACATATGAGAAATGTCAGAAATAACGCATGAAAATCAAACTCAAAAAATAGTGAGAGAAGTGGAAAAACAACACGTGATAGGGAAAAGGGTAAAAAAGAGAATATTTTATATATTATATGTAATATTCTAATCTATATATAATACACACACATACGCATATATATATATATATGTATATATACAGGGTGTCCCAGAATTAGTGTAACATCTCTCGTAGACAGGTAGAAGGAGTAAAACTAAGTCGATAAGTCCTATACCATTTTGCTAGATTCGCAATAGTTACCGAGATCTTAATTAACAAAGATCCGCAAATAAGCGTGCATCGGGCTGTCTTAC